GGAAGTGAAAGAGATGATGAGACGAAAAGGTCCATTTGTGTTGTTCTCTTGTTTTTAACCATTCATGTCTCTGAATCATCACTCTTCCGTTTTCTTGTTTTGTAATTCTGAGTTATTAAAAGGAAGATCTTCTGTTTTCTGTTGCATGTTTTCTCCCCATTAAATCGTGGGTGTCTTGAGTATGACAAAAACGACCTGCCAATGTAGCACGAATTAGAGGTGGACACACTTCAGCTATCCAGAAATTTGATTTGAGGGCACTCAAACCGAGACATTATATCTTGCCTGGTTTACTTTATCACTCATCTGGGCACGGTTCGAATATCTGACATTTTTAGAATACTTGAACTCGACGAGCTATTCATTTCAAAACCCGAACTCGTACCCGAATCTTCGAATATCCAAACTATATTACCCATGAGACAATTTTCGGATACCGCGGATATCAGAACCTGACAGGTTTATACAAATTTTAATTAAAAACCTTCAAATTTATATATTTCATACAAATTAATGATAAATATTTATACTAAAACTAAATAAATTATAAAATGATAGTTTTTTTTTGTATAAATAAATATATAAACAATTAAGTATTAATAGATATATTTGTAATTTTGTAATAATTTAAAAAAATATATATTATTTATTTATTAACTATTTGGGTATCTACGGTAATTATCCGACCCGAAAATACAAATCTAAACACGAACTCGAATTTCGGATTTTTAACATACTAAAATCCGATCTCTATCTCATTGTACCGTGGATACCCGAAATTCGAATATCCGACCCTCGGATCGAGATGGATACCCAAAATTCGAGTATTTTTGTCCATCCCTAACTTACACCCATGAAATCAGATATTCGAATTAAAAAAAACTCGTTAAATAATTGTCAGATATCACAAATATCTCAATCTGAATATTTTAAATTATTTTTTTAAATATATTTATATATATATTCAAAATCATTTAAAATCAATTTAAATTATATTTATATATAAAATATATCATAAATATATTCAATCATATCTATATAATCATTAAAATCAAAATATATAACATAAAATTTAAGAAAAATTTTAAAAATTAAAAAATAATTTTGTATTATTCGGATATAAGTGGATACCTGAGAAAATACCAATTATCCGGATTTGAATAAAAAAATTTGAATATTCTAAAATTACTATTTGATTACGTATCTCATTCGTTTGAATATTCAAAATTTTATGTATCCGACCCACGGATTGGGTTGGGTCGGGTCTGGTACCACGAAATTCGAGTTGTTTTCCAACCCCTGGTACGAATAGCTTCGCATGGACTATTTCACAAGTTTTGGGGCCAAAACGTCAGTCTAAAATATAATGGGTTCGTTTTTCAATTACTGCAAATATGAGTGGTGCGGATGGAATTATCCTCATTTTTCTCTAATAATAAGCCTTTAGTTGCGTTAACACACCCGGGAGACAGGCGCGTGGAAGTTTGTTTTACCGCCCTCCTTGAAGACATTCTCTCTCTCCTCTCTGTAAGACACTTCGTTTTCTCTCTGCGATCGTCTCTTCCTCGTCAATCGATTAAAAACAGGAGTAACAAAAGAGCTTTCTGCAGATTGAGACCCTAATCTTCTTCACCTCTCTCCTTATCTCTTGGAATCGGCGATTTTTCCCGTTTATCTATTTCGATGAATTCTGGAATCCAAGTATTTCCCCTTTGAGGCCCAAATCTGAGTTGCTGAACGCCTTAGGTTGCGCAAAAACCCCTAGAAATTGTCTCTTTCGATCTCCATATGAGGTTGACCGATACGAGTTTTTGACCTGTTGGCTGGAAATTTCAGATTTCCTTGGAAGCCGGTGCGACATTAGGTCTATGATTCTTGGATGAGCTGGTCATTCGGTTTCTGCTGCAAGATTTCACGAAATTTCGTAGTTTTGGGCAATGATTTTAAAAGTATAGCTAGATTTTGTTGTGTCCGTGAATCTTAATGTACATATAGCTAGATCGAGTTGACTGGATTAAGGTTCTTCTGGTGGTGAAGCGCGGGTATCCTTTTGATTCTTTGGTTAGCTGGCATTATGAATTTCCTTGGGTTTAGATTGATGATGGTTACTGCTGAAAGCGGAGCAAATGTTACGCCTGTAATATTGAATTTGACTGTCAAGGTTCTACAAGAGTTCTGAAGAGGTTTAGGTTTTGCGCTGATAGTCGAGAACTTCTGTAGAGGAAATAAATTAAGCGTCAGATTGGTCAGGGCGATATTGTTATACCACCTGCTTGCATGATGAGCGTAGACGATAAACAACAGTTTGGAACGGATTCGCTTGATGAAACCAGTGATGGATCCAGAAAGTATGTTATGTGTTCTGTCAATCACGTGTTTACTTTTCCTCTTGATGTTACATATCCTGTCAATTTATGTGTCTACTTCTACTCTTAGCATACATAAGTAATCATTTCTTCTATTGAATCAGGAAACCAAGAATTTCATACAAGAGAGAGTTTCTTTTATCGTTGAGTAGTGTTTGCAAGAAGCTCCCAAAGCTGCCAAGTGGATTTGACAAATCACTTTTACGGTGAGAGTGCTTTCTATACAAGTTGGTTGCAATCTAAGAGTTCTAGAAATGTGACGGTTAGATCTTGTGCTTGTATTATATGCTACGCTATCTGCATTTAAGAAATGTGTCTTGATGTGCACCCTCCTCCTCCTTGAGCAGTGACTCTGAAGATCCTTTACCTGAACGTCGAAGAATTTCTGGCGACTTTTCATCTCATGGTTTCAGGCGGAATGATAGTAGTTCATCTCCTCCTGCCAGGGGTGAGTTGGGTAGTTATTCTCGAGGAGCCCATGGAAGATGGGAAGGGCGTTCTGGTGGATGGAATGATAAAGACAGTGATTCGCAATTTGACCGGGACTCAGGTATTATTAGTTTCTTGCTTCGCCATTGTTTTGTTGCTGGTAATGATCTTGCTACAAGGTGGACTTGGCAATCCAAAACTGACACATCTTTATCTTTGCTCTTCCTTAGCATGAAACATAATCTTACAAATGTTCTTCTCAGTCGGTAAAATATTGTTCAGTGTTGTCATTGCTATAGAATTTTATCCAGCTGGGTGTTCTATATCTCTCAATATAAGTTTGTATCTCTGTACCAAATGGCATAAAGACTCAGTGACCTTGTAGG